AATCCTCAAAGACATGAAGACCTTCCACTAGGCTTCACTTATTGGAGGTTTTACCACTTTTCAACAGTGTCAATGTGCAGAACAGCCATTAAAACCTGAGTTTTGGGGGGACATTCTATATCCAAACTATGCAGAAGTAAAACTCAACAACCTCTTGTCCTCATTCTTGAGTATGGGCTATACTTAACATTATGCTTCCAAAAAGTAGAGTATGAAAATGGGAAAGGAAGTAACTTTATAGTAAAGAAACCTGGCACAGCCTGGCTTGGGAAAAGTGGTCAAAGCTTATATTTTTGGTAGTAAGTCATGTTAATAGACTATAACCTTGAAATGATATAATGAGAATGGCATTCACTTCTGTGATCTTCACCCTCAAAACTAATAAACTCAGTCTAACCATGAGAAAATCTTTAGAAAAGCTTAAATTGAGAGAGATTTTGAAAAATACATGACTAAACTATCAAGGCCATCAAAAACAAGAAAAATGTAAGAAAATATCACACAATAGGGCAGGCTAAGGAAATATAACAATTAAATGTAATAAAAATATAAACATAAAACAAACCATAAAAAAGGAATTTAGGAAAAATTAGTGAAATCTAAAAAAAAAACTATGGAGTTTAGTTAATGATTATATAGTAATGTTGAATTCTAATCCATGACAAATATATTATAGTAATATAAGATATTTACCATAAGGTAAACTAAATGAGGTGACTTTTCTATCCTGGTAACTTTTCTGAAAATAAAAATGATTCTAAAATTAAAAGTTTATTAAAAAATTAGAAGTCCAAGTAAACATGGCATATGAAAGTCTGTAACATACAATCCCAAGAAGAGAAAATAAAGGCTGTATTAATGAAGAATCTATATAGAAAAAACAAGTAGCATCAGAATTGCCCATTTTTTACTACAATGATGAAATAAATAAAAGCCCCAAAGTATTCAAGATATACACAAGAACAGAGAGCATGAACTCTCAATGAACACCAAAATCCCTATGTAGAATGCTTAACCTCTAACAAAAGGGGCATACAAATCCAGGAAGTTCTTTTAGACTTCCATCCACACCCCAACTGCCCAAGGATAAAACGGAACTTAGCAAGAGAACAATACCTAGTCCAGAAACTGCAACTTGGAGGATTCATCAAGGAAAATTCAACTGTTCCATATCAGAACAAAACAAAATTCTTGATACTACTTATTTTAAGCATAAGCAAGACACAATAATATTTCATTTACATATATACCTGAAATACAACACAAAACATACCAAGCAAAAGAGACAAGATCACATTTAAAAATAAAAATAAAAATAAAGGTGCTGAATGAATTTCTGTCCTCTCCAAAACTCATACTGAATTTAAATTGGCACTAATATAGTTTAAGAGGTAGGTCTTTGTGGAAGTGATTAGGCCACCAGGGCTCCATGCTCATTACATACAATCAAAAAATTCAATTCTACAATGGGGAGCTCAGCTCCCTTTGTCTCTGCTTGTCCTTCTACCTACAACCCTGAAATGGCTCATCGAGGAGGCCCTTGACAGATGATCTCATTGATTTTTTGACTTACTTGCCTCCAGAATTCAAAGACAAAAAATTTCTGTTAATTATAAATTACTCATTCTTATTTATTATATTATAGCAACATAGACTAACACATAAGGAAATGAAGAAATTTTCTTACTAGTGGTTTGCATTTCAGAGGAATACAAAAAGGCCAAGCATTCCATAAAGTTCACAGAGAAAATGTTAAAATAACAGAGTGAAATGCAAAGGAAAAAAATATTTGAGGGCTAAGGATGTGGCTCAAGCGGTAACGTGCTCACCTGGAATGCGTGGGGCGCTGGGTTCGATCCTCAGCACCACATAAAAATAAAATAAAGATGTTGTGTCCACCGAAAACTAAAAAAATAAATATTTAAAATTTTTTTTTCTCTCTCTCTCTCTCAAAAAAAAAATTGAAAATGAAATTCAGTAACCCAGGGGTTCCCTACAATAAAGAACCCAGGTATAAAAATGCCATATATGGGCTGGGGTTGTGGCTCAGAAGTAGAGCATTTGCCTTGCACATGTGAGGCCCTGGGTTCAATCTCTAGCACCACATAAAATAAATAAATAAAATAGAAGTATTGTGTCCGACTACAACTAAAAAATGAACATATATTTTTAAATGCCATCTATGATCAAAGTTTCAGTAATGATTATTCAATCCTCTTAAATACTAAATTACAATTAAACAACAAGGGACCCTTTAAATGTAAAACTAAATACAACTTTTACAAACATTTTTTAAAAATATTAATAAAAAGAAAAAGTGGGAGAGTTTAAAATGCAATTCTTTATTTCATATCTGAGAGTTAAATAATACTGTTTAAATTTGACATATTGCACACAAAAATTTTGATGTCTTAATATTTTAATATTTTTCAGTCTCCTGTCCTAAAACTAGAATTTTTTAAAGGGATTAATGTTTCTTATTGAGAGAACACATTCTATAATTCAGTTTTCTTCAGGTTCTCTTTGACTATTATTCTTATATTCAAGTACACAGCCCTTGAAATGAGCCAGGTACTTTTAGATATTTACTAAGTCATATAGTCCTCAGAAGAACTTGTGTAGGTTGGGCCTTATTTTATTCATTTAGATTAAAAACAGCAACAACAACTGACTCCCATTCACTCTAAGTAATTTGTATACAGCTAGGAAGCAGCAAAGCCAAAATGCAAAGACAGATTATGGGTCTAGAATCTATCCTCTTAACCTGTACACTACACTTGCTCTCAAATAAAACAGCATGTAGTGAATGAAATCAACATACCAAAAGATACCTGCGTTCCCATGCTTACTGCTGAATTTTTCACAATAGTGAAAATATGGAATTAACCAAAGTGTCCATGAGCAGATGAATGAATAATGTGGTCTTTTTATACAATGGTATATCATCCAGCTTGTCAGCTTCCTGTTACCATGACCAAATATCTGTGACTCAATTAATAAAGGGTGATTTTGGCTCAAGGTTTCAGTTTATGGCCACTTGACCCTACTGTCTTTGGGTCTGTAGACAATACTTCATGGTGGGGAGGAAGAGATGGAGGAATCTGTTCACCTTAGGGTGGCTGGGAGCAAAGAGAGAAGAAGGAGCTGGGTCCCAATATCCTTTTCAAGGGTACCTCCACAGTGACCTAACTTACTACATAAGGCCCACATTAAAAGTTCCACCATCTCCTAATAGTACCACAGGTTAGCCTTTAGCATGTGGGTCTTTGGGAGACATTCAAGATGCAAACTCTAGCAGAGAAAGAGATATGGAAAAGGAGGAAGAAAGGGAGGGATAGAGGGATGGGAAAGAAAAGGAGAAGTGAGAAAAGGAAAAGAAAGTTGAGGAGGAAAGGAAGAAAGAAAAAAGAAAGGAATGCCACCATCATTTGTGGCAAAATGGATGGAACTGGAGAACATTAAGTGAAATAAGTCAGGTACTAAAAGACACATACTATATATTCTTACTCAAATGTGAAAGCTAAAATGTTGATCTCAAAGAAGGAGTGGAATACTGATTATGTAGTGGGAATGCTGGATAGAGGAAGTTCGGATAATAGTACCAAAATACTGTTAGAAAGAAGAAAATAATTATAATGTTCTACAGCATAGTAGGGTGATTATAGTTCACCATAACATATTATATACTCTGTGAAGAACTAGAAGAGAGGAGTTTGAAACCTCCAAACGAAAAGAAATGATAAGGAGGTGGAAATGCTAATTATCTTGATTTGATTGGTGCATTCTGTATATGTGTTGAAATATCATATAGTATTCCATAAATATGTGTAATTACTTGAATCAAACTGTGAAATATGATGTATTAAGAACTATGTAATGTTTTGAATGACCAACAATTAAAAAAAAAGAAAAAAAATGTGTAATTATTATGTGCCAATTAAAAAGTAAAATTTAAAAATTTTAAAAGATGGTTATTTGGGAGCAGAAAGTGTGAAATTTAAGTAACTTTTGTTTGCATTTTTCAATGAATTTAATGTTTATGAAGAGTCTCTATCAATCTTTAAAAAAATGAAGTCATTAATCAAAAAAAAAAGCAAAGAAAAATTACTAACCACAACCTGTGAACATTTTCATTGTTAATTTTTGTCTACCTAATGTGCCATGTTTTAATTAGCACTTTACTGATCTTCCTGAGACTAGTATAATAATGGACAAAATAAACATGACATAGGTGTATTCCTTGATCATCATTAAATATTAGATTACTATATTTTATCTAACTTTACAGGTAACATACTTCTAGAAGCACTTTCCTTAGACTAGTATCATTTGTACCATCTGGTAATACCTCAAGTCCCATCCCAGACTGTGTGAATCAGAATGTGCACTCTAGTACAATCCTCCAAGATATCAGATTGTACAATAAAATTTGATAAGTACTTATTCTAGGATATTATCTTTCTAAGTGTCATCCATTATTTACCTACTTAATTCACCTGGGTTGTAAAAATTATAAACCCTTAGGCTCTACCCTATTCCAAGTATTACTAAAGTTTAAAAGTCACAGCTAAAATAACAAAGGTAAAAAGTAATGGAGTAAAGGAATAGGTATATTAAGCAGAGAGAAGTGAAAGATGCAGCTAAATAAAATAATATTATTAAGAAATAATATTATCAAGAAAGTGATAATAATAAGAGATAATGAGAAAAAAATAAGGAGTCAAATAGGAAAGCAGGGTAAGGACATTGACAAGAGAACTAAGAAGTAGTAAAGTGACTGTATTGAGAGTAATATATACTTCAATTTAAAAAAAAACAAAAAACTTCTCACCCTGGCAGGCAAATCTAGCATGCCAAAGGTTTTAGAAAAGATTGTGGGGACATGCAATATTTTAATGTAACAATAATTATAAGCAATAAGTTGAATAGGTAATCACCACATAATACACACATTTTATAAATGTTCCTAATATCATATATGATTTTAAATGTATACATACGCTTTTAGAGATATTTCCAAATGCTTGGCTCGTGTGATTGCTTCATCTCTCTCCTCAATGGCTAATTTCAGCCTAGACATAACAGCTTCATCTCGTTCCCTCTGTGCAAAATACACTTCTTCAACCAGAGCTACCAAAATAGATTACTCACAATCAATCAGAGAAAACAAATGAAAAAGGTTACATCTACCAAAAATAAAATATATAATTCCATCATTTTAAGGAACATTTAGGTTATGAAATCAAGTTAGCATCAACTAATCATATGAGAAAATGTTACTTTTAATAGCTATTGCCAAACTGTGATACCATTTCACACCCAACAAAGAAGCAAACATTAAATGGTCCAAGAATAAATGTTGTGACCTTCTGAAACAAAGAAAATCCTCATGTACACTGTATGAATGCATATATATATTTCTACAACTGTATTAAGAGCAATTGGGCAATAGTTATTAAAGTTAAGCTCACTGTGTAATCTAGAAAATACCCGTGTTTTGAAATATAGTCTGGAGAATTTTTTGCAAAAGAAAAAACGTGTACAAAAATACTGCAGCATTGTTTATAGTAAGAAAGACACAGAAATAAACCAAATATCTGTCAACATGAGTGGGAATAAATAAAACACTATAAATTCAGAATGGAACACTACCCATTATTTAAAATAACATAACTATGGATAGATGGCCAACCTCAAAATCAAAATGTTGCCAAAATAGCAAGCTGCAAAATAAAACAATTCTACCTACTATTTTTGCATAGAAAGCTAGAAAAAAAAATGAGCATTATCCAAATTTAAAGGAGGCGCTATCTCAGTGGGAAGATACAAGAAAAAGAAAAGAAATAAATCAAGGAAGAACCAAAAGGGGCAGAGTTATACTGGTTTGGCACAACTTATCTGCACAGAGCAAGGGGTACGACATAGGTGACAAAATAAATAGAGTCTCTTAGATTTGTATAGCTCTTATGTGGAGAGCTTCGATGTTATCTGAAATTGTTATTTCTGAAGCATAATTTCTATTGTTGATATACTTCAGACTTTAGATAATTTCAAAAATACCACTGTAATGTTACACAAGAAGATCTCAAATACTTGGATCACCAAACCAAATTTTATATATATATATTGTTAAACCACAAAATAAGCGTGGAAAAATTGCTTGACATATTCTTTTATTATATAAAACACTGGATTCATACTAAAGACTTCTTATAGATTAATACACAGTTGATCAAAATAGTTATACTATTTAAATTTTAAGTGGTAAAAATCCTGAGAATAAATCAATTATATCTTTTTCATGGTAGATTATGAAAGAATACAAGTGTAAAACGTAATACATAATGTCAAAGCAAAAGTCAAAACCCACTTTCCAAGGGCTGAGTCTAAAGGAAGAAAAGTATATACATTCATTCATCAAATGTTTATCAAACTTCTATGTCAATCATCCATTTAGTTTTAAGGGCAATGAATATAGTAGCCATTTAATAAGTCTTTACGACTTCCACATTTTATTTCAGGGAGACAGAAAACAGAAAAAATAGAAAGTTAGATACATAAGTAGATAGAACAGGTAGTAGTAAAGGCTTTGGTAAATAAGGCTTCAGGAAAGAACTGAGTGATTTGGTAGATAGGGTACAGAGCAGATTATTTTTGAAAGACTTCTTTAAATAAGTGACATTTCAGCACATTCAAATAAAAAATGTGTATGTACATATATACTCACATATTAACACACACATAAGAAGGTGTTCTTCTCCCTTTCTCTCTATATGTAAGTAGGTAAGAAAGTAGACTAGGAAAGAGAATTAACTATGCAAGGCCTTGGAATTTTTGGCTGAAGCACAAGAAGTGGAAGTGACAGTTTCTGGGAGATCATACTGGGTCTCAAAAGCTGCAATAAAGATTGTATGTATCATCGAAGCATGCAAGTAGTTATTATACGGTTCTGAACAAGGAAATGAGAACATCACATTTATGGCTGAATGGGAATATTCTGACTTCTAGATGAGAAATAATTGGGCAAGGGTGGAAATAAAGAGGCTACAGTGGTTATCTAAATAAGAATTCACTTCAGCAACTCCCATAAACGATCCTTTCCCTGGAACTTTAAATTACTTGGAAATAAATATACATACCAATGTAGAATTTGGATACTATATATACTAAAAGGAATTCCAGAATAAGAACAGTCTTATCAGATCTGTGTTTTAGAAGCAAACTTCTAGAGATTAGAATACTGCTTGTACATATAAATGTGGGGGTAGGAGGAAAATAGCAGGTTGGAATGTACATATGCCTTAATCTAATATTTATTGTACCAGTCCAGATGAGAAATAAAGAAATCCTGAACTAAGGCAATGGCAATAGAAATGAAAAAGATAAAAAGAAAATGGGTTCAATTCAAATCAAAAGAGTATGACAATAAATCCTAAGTGTTCAGAAAGTACTGAAATTTAGAGAGAAGGGAAAAATATCAAAACAGCTGAACTACTAAGCCACTCCTCAATAATTGTCATAAAATTCTGGGATTAAACAATCTATTCCTCACTACTGCCATAGGGATTCCAAGGCCAAAACAAATAAACAAACAAAAAATTCACCTGATATGCAAGGAACTAGATCTAAAATCCAGCTGTAGTTCTACACAACATGCAGTAAACATATGCTTAACTTTCTCTCCAAATGAACATAACTATAAAATCTTAACAGAGTACATGGCACAGTTATTTGCCCAAGAAAGAATACTAGAATTCCAACCACACTGAAATAACCATGATTTTTCTCTAGTATCCCCTAACCTAAACTGGTACACAAAAATTTCAGGAAAACTCTATAGTTTTGGCTGCAGGAAAAGTCCAAGAACTCAGAAAAACTGGGACAATCTGTTGCTTTTTACTTTTGTATTCTCCAATTCTGAATGCTTCAGCCCTTAGGCAATCTCACTGGGAGGCATCACTAACAGAAAAAGTGCTATATGGGAGCCAAAGTTCTAGAGGAAAAGAAGCTAACTTTCCTCTCCATTTAGTGGACCCCGGAGAGGATAACAATTGGTATTTCTCTCTCTTCTACTGCCACTGTGAAGCAATTACAAAGTTAGAGGTTAATGCCAGATGATAAAAAATGTGGAGACTCAAAAATCCAGAAATTCAAGGAGAGAATGGGGAGAAAGTATCTGAGGAAAGCAACACTATAGGAGCTGCATAAGAACCTCCCCTACACATGCTTGATCTTTATCAGAATATCAAAGAACCTGAGAAATTAAATAGTGAACAGAAGCCCCAGGTTCTAGAGGAAACCCTGACCAAGAACACAAAGGACAAATTGGAACTGACTTTGGAACTAACTACAGCTCACAGAGGCAAGAGGCCTGAATCTAACTACATCAATCCTATGCTAAAACATCAACAGGATATAAATAAGACCTAGATAATATTCATAGTGTCTAGGATTGAATAAAAAAGTATTTGAAATACAAAACCAAAACCAAATAACAACCACCCCCCAAAACAAAACAACAAGAAACCCACAAAATCTCAAGTTGTATGAGAAAAGACACCAAAATGTCATTTTGCTGATATCAAAATGACAAAGAAATTAGAATTATCTCACAAAGACTTTATTCCATTTCTAAAAATGCAATAAATAAGCAGACCATTGTAAATACTCTAAAGGCAATAAATAACTATGAAATAACCATGACATCAACAACATGAAATTAAAGATAAAACACAAAGAAATAAAAAAGAGCCAAATGAAAAATTTTAGGACTAAAAAAAAATCATAAAACAATCAAAATCAAAAACTTATTTAGTGACCTTAAATAGCAGAAGGGAGACAGAAAAAGTCAATGAACTTGAAGATAAAGTAATAGAAATGATCTGATCTGAATCACAAAAGAAAAAAAAATAAAAAGACTGAAAATAAATAAGCATAGCCTCAGAAAACTATAGGACAGCAAAGGTTATACCATCTCTGAAGGAGAGGAGTGTAGTAGTAAAAATTTTCTAAAAATTAATTTTTTAAACTGAAGAAATAAGTGCTGAACAATTCCCAGTTTGTCAAAGACATAAGCCTATAGGAGAAAGCAGCTAAATGAATCCCAAACAGGACAAACAATCCACACTCTCATGTAAAATAATCATACTGCTAAAAATTAAAGACAAAGGATAAATGATGAAAGCAGCGAGATGGAAAAAAAAAAAACATGATTAGCATGATTTATGGGACAACAGTTCCAAAGACCACAGATTTCCCATTAGAAACTATGATAGCAAAATAGAGAAATGGCAATGCATTTTAAAGGTATTTAAAGAACGATTCACTTAAAATTGTGTATTTCATTAAAAAGAATACTTCACAAACTGCGGGTGGTAGGGGTGGGGTTGGGGGGAATTGAGCCTCAGTTAAGGAAAACTAAAGAAATAAGCAGGTCTTCCCTAAAATAACTGGTAAAGGACATTCTCCAGGCAGAAAAGAAATGATACTAAAAGGAAACTCTGAACATGAGGAATGAAGGTAAACAAAAGACATAGTAGATATCTGGGTAAATATAATAAACTAGTCTCAATATAATTGAAATGTTAGCTGGCTGAAATAAAAAACATTAGCACTCATGGGATTTTCAGTGTATGCAAATGTAATATATAAGAAATGAGCAGAAACAGAGGAAAGTAAAGTCCCTTATTTGGATAAGTTTTCAACCTATCAATTGAAATGGTAAAACAGTAATTTTAAATAAACTGAAATGTTATTTATTCACAAATTATTCATGGAAGTCATGAGTAATGAGAGTTGACTGTATTTAATATTTCCTACAATACTCAAATATATATACAAGGATATACTAATTAAAATAAAATTGAGAAACTGAAATGGAATACTAAAACAGAGTCAAATATACCCCAAAGAAGACATGAAAGGGAAAACAGAGGGGGAAAAAAGGAAAGCAAATAAAATGATAGCCCTAAATCCAAACATCAGTCAACTAGACAAAGAGAGATTATCAGATTGGATTTTAAAAGGAAGATCAATTATGTATATATAAGAAACTCACTTTAAGTACAATATTATACAAGTAGATTTTTTTAAAAAATGAAGTTAAATCATGTAAAATAAAAATAAAGCTG